TGCGTGTCATCCTTGCGCGGGGGCCATGCTAATCTTCTCTGTATCGTTCCAATTTTAACGGATGTCCCGAAGGACAATCCCTCAAGTTCAACTAAGTAAGTTATAAAACCTAATGTAACTTGAACCTTATCCTAAAGAAAATCTATAGACTCTACTATGAACACTAATTTTTTTTATTTTTTTTTTAACTTGGACCATTTCTCGATTTATGCGTGTCATCCTTGCGCAGGGGCCATGCTAATCTTCTCTGTATCGTTCCAATTTTAACGGATGTCCCGAAGGACTGAACACTAATTTGGACACTCCTGAAGGACTGAACAAAAAAGAAAGGGAACAAAAGGGGACATGAACTATGATCACTGTTTTTCTGGTTTTTTTTTTTTTTAGAAAAATGTTTGCCCAAGGCAAGTTACATCAGCACAGTAGCCAATAACAAGGACAGCCGGGTTGTCCCGCCCCACCGGGAGCTCGGAGCCACCTTTTTTTTTTTTTTTTTTCACTTTGTATTGCTTCAGAAATGAAAGATGAGGCCCGTGATCTTTTTTTTTTTTTTTTTTTTTTTTTTTTTTTTTTACCCGGAAGAAATTACTGGGGCCATTACCCAGCTTCGGCTGATTGCTGGAAACATGGTCCAGCATCCCCAAAGCCATCTCTACTCAAGTACTTTCCAAAAAGGTCATGAAGCACCAAAGCTAGAGTTCCTTTAAAAAAAACAAAAAAAACAAAGCTAGAGTCCTAGCTCTCGCAAGGAGAGCGTAATCCACAGCAGGTTCAACCTATGGCTACAACAAAAGTGAAATTTAAGCAGATTCCTAGAAAAGGAAAGAATATAGCTTATGCAGACCGCCAGAGACAGAAATCCGCCATTTCCGCAAGGCCAACCAAATCTACCTGTTTAAACCCAGGCGCGAAAACACAGTTATACACCAGCTATGTTATCCCACCAACATAATCCCCTACAGTGCCTTCACCTCAATCAGGGGTACCCTCATGCCTTGCTGTTCCCAAACCCCTGTGAAAAAAGCCCCAGCTGCCATGACGGGTTTCCCACCACACACCCGTGGATCTTTTTTTTTTTTTTTTTTTTTTCCCAAGAAAATTGTTCTTATGATTAAGCTGGGAAAGGGAACAGTTTTACTTCTTTGATACAGCAATCAGTGTGTTTTGTACTATAAAGGGAACAGTTTTACTTCTTTGATACAGCAATCAGTGTGTTTTGTACTATGTACTTCGGTACTTCTTTTTTTTTTTCCCCCTTTTTTTTGTGACCGGTACTATTTAACAACCGCACAAACAAAAACCCTTCTACGCTCGGGATGGCATGAATGGAGGCTGGCCTAAGAAACGACCAGGTTCACTATATTCTACGCTCTAAACAGCTCAACGAATCTCGCCCCCAAACATGACCAGATGCAGAACACAGGATTCCAAACCAAACACCACCGAAGTGCATACTGGGTTCGTTTTTTATTAAAAAAAAAGAAAAGAAAAAGAAAAGAAAAAAAAGAAAAGGAAGAAATATTGAAATTACTTGTGGAAATATCCTAATTACCCAATTACTTATTGAAGAGGGGGGGGGGGAGAGGGGGAAAAGTAGGGAGGGTGGAATGGGAGGATGCTGAGACGGGGGAGGAACAAGTCCTCAATAGGAACTATAAGTTGAAATTTAAACCACCAGTACTTGGGCACTGCGCGCCGCGCCGGCCGCCCAAATCTCGAAGCAGCGCGGGCTGTCCATTCGATTTATCGACGGCCCGCCGGCCGCGGAAATCGCGTAGCGTTAACGCTTAGGCGTCGCCCAAGTACTGGTGGTTAAATGACTGGACACTGGTGGACCCTTCAGTTCCCCTCCGCCCTGCCCAAGAGTTCCCGTGTCTTTTCCCATTACCCCACAACGCTCTGGTTCCAATGTCCTGGTATGGAAGGGATTCACTTGAATGATGCTTCGAACCAAGAGTTCCCGTGTCTTTTCCCATTACCCCAGAACGCTCTTGCTCCAAGAAGCACTTGTCATGAATGTTGTTTCGACACCCAGACCTGCATTCCCGGTTTACTGTTGAATAGGCTAGATAAGAAAGACAACATCTGGCGCCCCTTTTTGGGTGAAGAGGTCAACTTCAACTACAGCAGGCCTGGCTTTTTCAAGATACTCCTGGTAGGAGGTGGACATACTCAGTACAGTCATTGTAGAGATTGTCTTATGATACTTTCTCAAATTGTGAGGGACGCTGGACCCGTTTTCCAGCAGTTGCTGCTCCCCACAAATAGATGGAGCCCCCCAGAGTATGCTAGGGTAGTCTGCTCTTATCAGCTACCCTGAGCATCTACTCAGGAGGTTTTTTGCAATGGGGATTGGATTAAAATCCTGAATGTGGGCGTTTTTTAGGCAGAGATGCAGAAAAGGAGTTCAATCTCGATTTTCTGCACTTGTCCACAAACGGGCGGCCAAATTAAGGGGTTCAATCCAATCCTTTTTGCTAGTGGGACCTCGCCCCAGCAGGTGAAGCTCCCCACCAATAGATGGAGCCTCTCCCCCAGCAGGTGGTAGTGGTGTCTGCTCTTATCAGCACCACTAACACTGTTGTCAAGCAATGGCTGACGAACTGACAATTATCAACTTGTCGTGACGTTAGGAGAAAAGAAGGACAGGTGCGGAGAAGAAGGAAGATAGGTAGGGACAGAGAAACCAGTAGCAGACAACACAAAACCATGTCCCGAACACGACTTTAATTAAAAATATGACATGAAGTGCGACATGGCGATTGACCCTACCGGTTTCACCTGGCCGCCAGTACCAGGATCATCAGGGGTCCGCAATTCGGTGGCATGTCCTGTAGCTACTGTCTATATATACTAACTGTTACTCCCCGATACTAAATGTCGTCAGTCGTGCAAAAAGTGGCATCAAGAATAGTATCTTATAATATCTTACAGAAAAACGAACCTGCACCTCAAAATAGTCCAAGTACGAAGGTGAAATCAGGTACCAAGTAATCCGTTCACAGATCACGTCCTGGTTCAAATCTAACCTGTCTATTATGATTCCTTCGTACTACCGAGTCAAAAAACATCCACGATTCGTACCCTGGTTCAAATCCCTTGATACTGCCGTGTCCAAAAAACGCCGCACCCGGTTCAAGTCCACTGCATTAACCGTCCTACTAAAACACTTATTGTCACTGGTACACGGTTCGTACGCCTTATAACACTTGCTTCCCTATCAACACCAAGTTGAACAGGTCCACAGTTCAATTCTGCTCCTGCTGATACCTCGTCAATTACTCACAAGGAAACTATGCTTCCGATTCTTGGTTCGAAACCCCCCATCATTACGTACACCATA